GGATGCTGTGCCTTCCTTAGCCTTTTTGGGGTTCTTTTATTGTCTAAGGAAGCCGAATAGTTGTGGATGTACCAAAGGAAGACCTAGAACTCCAAGGCCAGGTTTAGGAGGTCCAGGCACACTGGTACCCTCGGCACCTCTGTAGTAAATTGAGTGAATCAAATCAAGTCTCCTGGAAACTCAGAGACAAAGCTTATAACTAAGTGTCTGCCCTCCTCCACAGTGAATCAGACTGGGCTTCATAAGGCTTATTTGTAACCAGATAAAACATGTGTCAGTCATTCACCCTGCATGTGACCTGCAACACCACCACAGAAAACACATTTCAGGCTCCCATACACTTAATCTTCATCAACATTCCCTTGCAAACCACAGTAAATCAATAACAGAATTGTTAATACAGACTTCTTTATGTTTTGTTTTAAAAATTAGTGCTTAAGCAGCTGGGAAGGTGCCTCAATTGCATGAGGCCCTGGGTTCGATTCCTCAGCACCACATAAGCAGAAAAAGCTGGAAGTGGTGCTGTAGCTCAAGTGGTAGAGCGCTAGCCTTGAGCTGAAGAGCTGAGGGACAGCGCCCACGCCCAGAGTTCAGGCCCCACGACCAGACCCCCCCCAAAAAAAAAGAAGGGCTCCAATGATGGTGGCATTGTAGTGGGAGCCCCGCTTCTAATTGTTCTTTCTGCCTCCCAGGTTCTTGTCTCTGTCGCCCGATGGTCAGGGAAGCTGGTGCCATCAGCCAGCATCCTGGCTCCTGCTCTAGGGGTGGGATCAGCCAGACTGCCCTTCTGCCCTGAATTGAGTTGAAAAGGCAGTGTGATGGCCAGAATAAGCCCTATGGACAGCTTTAGTTTCCTCATCTGTCAAATGAGGATAATAAGGCTTACTCGAATTGCTGAGTATTAAATAATTAGCAGTACCAGACACATACAAATCTGAAGAGCAAGGACACAAGTATACCTCTTTCTTCTACCTTAATTTTGTTAATTGAATAGTAGGTACTGAGTACTCACAGAGGAAAGGTAAGTCACAAGTGGGGGGAAGTTGACTTTAGGGAACACCAGCAGGTAGCAGACAGCATAATGTTTCTCAGTGGAATAGCATCCTGGGTTTAAACCTTAACCTCTGTTACTTTCCAGCCTGTGGCCTTCCCCTGCATCATAAGGTTTCCTTGAACCTTACTTTCCTTTGTCTATAAAATTGGGGAGCTTTATCGAGCACCAGTGGCTCATGCCTATAATCCTAGCTCCCAGAAGTCTGAAATGTGAAGAATAGCACCCAGGCCCTGAGTTCAAGCCCACAGACTGGTGCTGGGGGTGGAGAGGAAACTCTGGTTGACACCAGTGGTTCACATCTGTAGTCCTTACTACTCAGGAGGCTGAGATGTAAGGCTCATGCTTCAAAGTCCATGAGGCTCTTATCTCTAACCAGCAAAAAGCTGGAAATACAGCTGTGGCTCAAGTAGTGGAGCACCAGCCTTAAGCAACAAAAGGTAAGGGAGTTGACGTCCCAACATCTGCACACAAAATAAGTAAAATAATAAAATTGGGGAGCTGGGGAAGGTTCAAGTGAGTATCCAGCAAGGCCTAACCACCGCGAGTGTGTGGTAGGGAGGTGTGGACACAGCATACAGAGCACTCTACCATGCCAGGGGCACCATGAGGGCCTGCTATGTCCACAGGAAAGGTTTACTTGACAGTTCAAATGCATGATGTTAAAGAACATGATGTTCTTTAAGGACATTATATGAAGAAAAACGAATGTATGAGAGACCACAAATTGGCAAATTCCTATTTAGGACGAAACTTTGAGCCCCACTAATGACAGACAGCAATGTGTCACTGAGTGATCACTGAACTGTGGCAACTGGACAGAGACTACCGCATGAACTCCTCCTGACCTCTAGCCTTCCAAACCAGGAGGCCTGCAGACTCCAGGCTTTCCTTCAGGAAGGCATCCCCTTGCAGTTACACAAGGCAGAATTCAGGCTATCAGCAGTAGAGTATTAGAGATGGAGCATCCAGCTCCAGCCGGAGCCAGACACAGCAGCCAGGCTGGGGACATATTGGATAGCCACATATTTTATGGCATACTGAAGTATCACCAGTGCCCTCGTGTGTGTGTGTGTGTGTGTGTGTGTGTGTGTGTGTGTGTGTGTGTGTGTGTGTGTGTGATTGTACTGGAGCTTGAACTCAAGACTTGGGTGCTGTCCCTGAGCTTTTTGCTCAAGGCTAGTGCTCTACCCCTTGGGTAGCAGCCCCACTTCCAGCTTTTAGATTTTCCTGCCCAGGCTGGCTTTGAACCACGATCCTCAGATCTCAGCCTTCTGAGTGGCTAGGATTATAGGTGTGAGCCACTAGCACCTAGCTACCAGCACCCACTTCATGCTTCTCTGCTGCTTTAGCGGCTGTCTCTGATGGTTGGTTTATCCCACTTGTGCCAAGTCCCACTTTGAGCCTGTCCTGTCTCTTTGCCTTTATTCTGTCTCCATCCTCTGTGACAAAGTCTGCGAGCCCAAACAGTTGGAGCCACGCTGGATGAATTGTTGCAGTTGTCCCTGTGAGAGCGCAGGAAATGAGCATGCTCTCAAACTGGTTCAGGAGGCCAGCAGTCACTGCAGCCCTCAATTGGTACGCACTCTACCAGGCTCTGCAGACAGAGCTGTGGGCATGCTGTTGCTGTCTGTCTGTCTTCCTGTCTCCCAGGTTCTCTGTTCCACAGGCATCCATCCTGAACCACATGGCAGTGACCAGAGACAAAGTCACTTTTGGCAGGGTGGTAGAAAGCATCGAGGACACTGCACATTGTCAGCCACATCCAGGAGAGGGGAGACAGCTCCCAGCCAAGGGAGACAGGAGAGGTCCAGCAGCCTGGGCAGAATTCTTTGCCTCCTAACTACCATCAGCCCTTCCTGTAAAGGTGGAGGAATGCCTGTGTTGCCTCCATTCCTCTCCTGCCGTTCCACTCTGCTTGTTTCCAAACAGAGATAGAGCATATGGCTCCAAAGTCACTGGGCATTCTGGCGAAAGTGACACTGAATTACCCCAGGCTTGGGGATGTGGGAGGGGCCCATGGTGCTTAAGCACAGCTTCTCCCTTCATACTCCAGGAGGGCACAAGGTCACCTTTCCTCAGCCTCAGGGAGAAGAAGTGTGGACACTTGGACTTCAAGAAAGATCTCCTGTCCAGGCAGACATCAGAGAAGGCAGGCAGGCAGTAGGCATATATGGGGGAAGAGAACATATGAAGGCCTTTTAGCCCCCACCCAGAGTCCCTACAGAATGCCAAGAGCAAGTCACAGGACACGCCCAGCTGGGCTCCAAGCTTGGCTGTACCATGACCTTGGGAATCTGTACCAGGTGTCCAGGCACCCTCAGAACTGAGCTTCTCAGCTCCTCTGAGCTAGATCCATGCTCTTGCTCCTCAGGACAATGTCCCTTACCTGAATTGGAGAGGACTGTGAGGGGACACAGCCCAGGCTGCAAACTCCTGGCCTTTTTTGTCTTGTCCCCAGAGACATCTCAGTCTCACCTGAGGTCCATGCAAACTGTGCAGCCCCCTTTCCCTACCCCAGCCTGGCCCTCTGCAGCTCCTGCCATTGCTGGGATTGGAGCACCATGGCCATATTCCTCCTGGCCGTGCTGGAGAGAATATGAGGTTGTTGCCTGCAAGTATGGGGCTTTGAGCACATTCCCAGGGCCTGGCTATTTGCCCAGCTGCAGATCATGGCCAGGTGTTTTAGGAAACAGCCCCTGAAATCCCTGTCTGGGATCGGGAATGGGTCCCAAGAGGGGCTTAGAAAGAAGAGAATAAGAGGGAGTTACAGTCAGAAGCAGGGCAAGAACAGAAGCTGGGGGCTGCCACAGGAAGTCCTCATCTCCCTGTTCTCTGCTCATCCACTGTGGCTTTCTGGGTCTGTTGTCTCTCTGCTGGCTACAACATGTTTAGTAGACCAGAACGCCAGCGGATATAAATTCCTTAGGCAAGAAGCCACTTAGGGAGAAGGAAAAGAATACTTCCCCAGTCTTCCTTTTGCCTGCCACCTGTAGCCAGGGTGGCCCTGTGGCTGTCACGGCTTTCTTCTTCCCTTGCTGAGAACTCCCAGGTGGCTCTTAGATTGCAGGTGTATATCTTAGTACTAAATATAGCCTGGCCTGTCTGTGGGCTAAATAGGTTACTCTGAAAGACAGGCCATGTAGAAACAGAATTGGCCCCCTCCAAAGTCAACTTCACAGCCTTGAATGGTCCACATGTGCCAAAGCATGCCTCTTCCCATCGTCCTTCTCTTGGCCCATTTTCCCTTCCCTCCAGTTGCAGGCTGGGATTTTTATACAGGGAACCCACAGAAGAAAAAAAAACAAAAAGAGATTCACAAAGCATCTGGCAGGATAAATGTTTGGTCCCTAGGCAGCAGCAGACTGGAAAGCTGGCCACACAGGGGGTGGGCCTTCACCGAGTATCTGAGAAGTGATGCAGAGCCAAAGAAGAGCCAGCAAGAACATGGAGTGAAGACAGATGCACCCTCAAGCTTTGCAGAGCAGGGAGCAGATGGGAAGAACTCCAGACCCGGGCAGCTTACTGTCCCACCGTGGGCCCCAGTTACCTAGGCTGAGAAATGGAACTGAAAGCCGCCTTCCTTATCATGCTGTGTTAGGGAGAAAAAGAAAGAAAAGAAATCAGAGCCAGGTACCAGTGGCTCAATCCTGTCATCCTAACTACTTAGGATTGTGATTCAAACCAACCCTGGCAGATTCTTATTTTCAATTAACTACCAAAAAGTCAGAAATGAGGCTGTAGCTCAAAGTGGTAGAATGGTAGCCTTGAGCAGAAAAGCTCAGAAACAGCACCCAGGCCCTGAGTTCAAGCCCCAGGCCTGGCACACAAACAGGCAAGAGAAAGGAGGAAAGAAAGACATCAGCTGTAGGCTGCCAGCAAACCATGGGTTGCTTTCTTCCATATGACGTATGGGCACTGGTCTCACATCTACTCTTCTTCCCTGCAGGGCCACCCGTTCATCGTGCAGTTCAACGATGGAAATGCAGCCGTGGTGTCCATGTGGGTGTGCCGGGCACTGGAGGAGAGACGGAGCCAGCAGGGGCCCCGGGAAGCCTCCGTGGGGCGCTGACCACTCAGGACCACTTGCTAAGAAACAGCCCACCTGGGGCTCCTCTTCGTTGCCTGCTTCAGAAGAGCTTTGCTGGCCCAGCCTCCTGCTCCTGTCTGAGATGGCCCTACCTGAGAAAAGCCCTCAAAGGGCCAGCCCCTCCAAGCAAGCCCTCAGTCCTGGTCTGGAGGCAGTGAGAACGGAGGCTCCCGTGGCCTCACACCCCTTGTTTATCTAACACTTCCTTGTAAAGGTCAAGCCCTTCAGCAGCACTGATGGGAATAAAAGTATTACTCTTTTGGGACTCTCTTGTCCAGGGAGTTTGTTACCTCCCCTTCTAGATGAGTGGCAGGCGAGGCCTCCACTTGGGAAGGACGTGTGAGACCAGGCCTGCCATCCAGGCACCTGCAAGGCCCTGGGTTTGATGATGGAGGTTCGCTGGACAGATGAGAAATCAAAGTACAGCTATGAACCAAGGAATAGACGAGCCAGAACCAGAGCTCAGATCTTAGACCTCAGAGTAGTCCCCTTCCTGAACTAGAGTTTGCCCCATGGGCCCATGTTCGAGAGAAATGTGATGAGGTCATGGCCATACAGCCTGGGCCCTGCACTCTCCTCAGCCTCGGGCCCAGACGTGACACCAGCTCTACTGCAGGTCTGGTGGGGCTGGCCAAGGAAGAAGCTTAGAGACTAAGAAAGAAACCCAAAGAATTCGGAGAGGTCTGTCTTCAGCCCACCCCTAACCCCACCCTGTTTCCAACATCTCTGCCACAAGATGCCCATTCACTGGCCATGACCCCCACACCCAGCAAACTTCTTTCCTTGGGCCACTCAGATGATCTTTCAAGGCTCAGAGACTGGTTTCTATTTGAAAGTCTAAGTGGCATTTCAGCATGTCTACAAGCAAACTGTGATCCCTCCCTATATAATCCATCTCCTCCCCCCCCACTGCTTTTCCATCTCTTTCTCTGTGTCCATGGAAGAGTGGGACTTGACCTTGACTCAAATTCTCTATATGTCTCTGTGTATGTCTCTGTCTGTCTGTCTTTCTCCCTGGTCCTCCCCCCTCCCCATTCTAGGGGTGAAAACCTAAGCCCTAGAGTCAAATCCTATTACTATACCCCCTGACTCCTTTTTCTCACCCCACATCCAGACTCCGGGAAGTCATATTGTCTTTCCCTTTACAAAGTATTAGTTCTTCCCTTCCCCATACTGGTCTAGGCCACCACCACCTCTCATCAGACCATTGGGGAAGTTCTTACTGCCCTCCTGTCCTTGCAGGCCACCCTCCACAGGACAGCTGAAGAGCCTGTTAAAACAGAAGGCACAACTTTCCTTGACCTGCTCAGAACCTCCACAGGCTTCCAAGTCACTCGGTGCCCACACTGAAGACCCAGCAGCGGCCTGTGTGACTGACTCTACAGTCTGCTCTTTCTTTTTTCTTCTTTACTTTTTTTTGTCAGTCGTGGGGCTTGAACTCTGGGCCTGGGTGCTGTCCCTCAGCTTTTCAGCTCAAGGCAAGCGCTCTACCACTGGATCCACAGTGCCACTTCCAGTTTTCTGGTTGTTTATTGGAGATAAGAGTCTCACGGTCTCTCCTGCCCGGGCTGGCTTTGAACGCAATCCTCAGATCTCAGGCTCCTAAGTAGCTAGGATTACAAGTGTGAGCCACCAGCACCCAGTTACAGTCTGCTCTTACACAGCTGACGTCCATGTTACTTCTAGGCCTTGCAGGCACATTCCCACCTCAGGGCCGTAGCAGGAACTTCTAACCACCAAAAGTGGATCTGGCCAGACGCTGGAAGCCCAGCTTCAGTGTGGCCTCAGACAAACCCCCATCTGAGTCACTGTTTCCTTACCTTGTCAGTGCAAGAACTCGAGTCCTCCAGCTCCTCCCAGCCCCTGTGTTCCCACATTTTGCGTTACGGACTCCTGTGAGGCTCCAGCTTGGGATAAGTTTGTACGCTCGTACATGTAGACACGCGCAGTTTCAAGGATTTTGGAGCCCATAGCACCCCAAATATAACTCATGCTTCTTTGGAGCAGCCCCCTCATATACAAGTTCCCCTTAATTAGAATCAGGAAGGTGAAGAGCTGATGGCTCCTAAGGGGTTCTCCTGCAAAGATCCTTCTGGCTGGATGCAGGGCCCTCTTTGGCCTGTTGAGGCATAGTCATTCCTTTTACCCCCTTGGCAGCCAAAAGCCACACTGCCTTTGTCCTCAGAGGAAGACCCAGATCTGCAACACTGCAGGCAGAAATTCTGCCCCACCTATGCCACCCGGTCTGTGGCTCATTCCTATACTTCCTGTCCTTCCTCTCAAGGGCACTTGCACTTGGCAGCTTTTTTATTTGCTTCTCCAGGTACAGACCAAATCCCTGAAAGCTTACCTCTGTCTCTAGGACCAGGCCCTAGGCTGACATAGGGAAAAGAAACCCAGACATACAAGGGGGAGTGGATCAGAGGATAGAACCCTCTGACCTGAGCCCTCGGGGCAACTTCTCTTCCCCGGGGCTTGTCACTGTCCTCCTCTGGCCTCCCACTCTGGCCCTTTGTGACACCCACATACCTGATAAAGCCTTTTGGAGACAAGGCCCCTTCCCTAGCTATGGCTTTAGACCTCTTAGGCTGGGTGGGGAGCATTCCTGAGATTTGAGTGGGGGCCGGTGGAGCCCCTGGGTCACACTGCAAGGGAGCCTGGCTCAGAGGCCAGGAATCCTCAGTACTCAGCCCCCTTCCTCTTCCTGCTTCTGCCTGTGGTGTTCCTACCTGAGAAATGCAATATACAGATCACCAGTGTTTGAGGATCCAAAGGAAAGCTAGGACCCTCATAACACCTGTGTGCTTAGACACAGGCCCTATGACAACCCGGAGCCCCTGGCTTGAGGCCCAACACAGTTGGAAGATGGTGAAGCCAGTGTGAGGATGGAGTAACCTGGTAGGGAAGCTGAGGGTACCCTGCCTAAAGGGTGAGGACCACATTGACACTGAATACACTCAGATCTTATGCTTCCAGATCTCTGCATACTCCGTCTTGATGGCCAACATGTAACTTGAAAATGGAATCTTAGGATAATGGCAGGCATGTAGGCTGGCAGCAAGCCCAGCCTCCTCCCATCACACTAGATGGTCAAGAAGAGTGTGGATGGCCACCTCCACCTGGAATTACGGAGCCCAGACAAGGCCACAATGACCCTGAAAGATGCTCTCCTACCTACCTCATGGCTGCTCGGAGTCACCTCCTTGGAGAGCCATCCTTTAGCTATGCTTGGCCTTTTAGAATGAAAAGTCTATGTTCTCAGTCTGGCAGAAAGAAGGGTGCAGGGCAAGGCTTTGGGAAAGAAGACCAAGAGCCCCATTTCAGGATTCCGCAAGTCAGAAGGAATAGGAGCAGGATGGGGGGGAAAAAAGAGGACCAGCATTTTGGACTCAAAGCAGTCCAGTCAGGGTCCTGACTCCATCCTAGAAGCCATGGGCACCCTCAGGCCTGGACTTGGACCAGGCCCAGCCTTCATATAGAGGGAATCGAATGTTTTCATTTTGTCTAGCTGGCATAGAGGAGGGAGGCTGAGGCCCAATGTCAGCTCCAGGTTCTGTGAAAAAGGGCAATGAAATAGGTGTGGTGGTAGATTTTGGAGCTAAAAGGACAGAAAGGTGTACAGAGAGGTTCAGGCTAGTAGAACAAATAAACAGCTTAGGATAGGAGCCCTAAGCCTGGTCCATCTGGGGCCTCAGGACACAAGGGAAGTCTACTCAGCCATGGGCTGAATTACCATGGCATTTGGTGGCTTTGTTCACCCTTGGCTTTGGCAAATATTAGTTCCCTGATCCACCAGAGATGCTAGGAAAGTAGGGGGCAAGCAGGATGAGGTTTTGGCTGTTCAGGGGTGAGGTCTAGTAAAGGTCCAGAGATAGCCTGGGCCGGCAGTCACCCCTGAAAAGGTTTATAACATAAGGCAAGGGAAGCCAGCAGAGTGAGGCCTCTTAATGACAAATTTTCTGCTGAACAACTACAAATATTGGCTGTGACTTTGGACACGATCTGAAAAGGACTTTGTTTCCTCTTTTGGTGGTATCATTTGTCTTGTTTTGAAGCCCCAAGATTGCAGGCAGGATCTTACAGACTAAAGTTTGTCTTAATTGCTGTGGTGTCACCACCTCTCTGGCAGATAACAGCACAATGAACGAGTCGATGGGGCTGAGCCCTCCAGGTCCTTCTTCTAAAGTGAGACAAATGTCCCTGCTTTGAGCCCAACAGTCCATCGGCAGCTCTGTCATTTATTTATCTTCCTAACAGTTTGCATTAACTTGCAGAGGATAAAAAGTCTCTCCAGCCTGCAGACTTAGTTAAAGGCAGCCAGTCATTGGACTTGGCTAAGACTTTGTTCTATTTTCCGTTTGTCCCTTCCTTCCTTCCTTCCTTTTCCTTCTTCCTTTCTTCCTTCTCTTCTGGGCCTAACTAGGACTCTTTTCTTTCTATTTTTCCTTCTGATCTTCCTTTCTTGTTTTCTTCCTTCCTCTTCCTTTTTTTTTTTTTGAATAGGAGTACAAGAACAGTGGTACACATTGGAAAAAGAGATGTGGGCTCAGATGGGAAAGTTCTAAGAAGAAAAATACTGTTTGTCCTGCGGTGTGGATTTGACATGGTAAACTTTACCTTCACCCTGGTCTCTTTTGGTCCTCCCTGAATCCACACAAGGACCAGGGACAGCACAGTTGTCCCCTTGTCCCTGCCCCCTTCTGTCCTGCTCCATGTTCCCATCACAGAGCTGATGCTCTGCTTCCTAAATGCCTTGAGTCTTCTGTCTCCAACCAGATGCCGGCTCATTCTCTATCCCTCAGCCCCAATACAGTTCCTCTGCATAGAACTTTCCTGCCGTCCCATCTGGGCTAGCCTGCATGCAGGTAGAGGAGACCTACCCATAGGCTCCAATAATGGAATTTAACCTTGTTGTATTATCTTTGGCTAGTTCCTAATGCAGCTTAGAGCATGAGCTGGAGAAGGGGCTTGGATGATTCCCTAGAAACTATACTTAGAAAAATCAAGGGGGCAGGGCAGACAAGGATTCTGAGAACTTCAGTCCTGCCCCTTCTGGCCTCCAACATGCAAATACTGAAGTACAGGTACTAAAACTGCTTCTTAATTGCCTCCCTACTAGTCTACAGGTAACAGATTAGTTAAAACCTATTAATAATAAAATAGTTAAACCTATTCACTAATAGGTCCTATTTTGTAATAAAATACTTTTCTTTTAAAATAGTTTTTTGGTGCCAGTACTGGGGATTGAATTCAAGGCTGAACACT